TTTTCCAGCCTTCTCAAAGCAACATCCTCGTTACGCTCATTGGAGTCGTCATGGTTGGTGAGAAACGCAGCTTGGCCAAGCAAATAGGTTGAGAAACTTATCCACGCTGTGCAGCTGCTGAAGGTATTGTCTGCTAGACGGGGGACCCCCACGCATTCAAACTTGTATATGCACAGGCCTCCTTGCACCTCTGTTGGCCACACGCTTCGGTAGGTATGGTCGCAACGAGCGTCACTAGAACTTCATTCACACTGCCAAGGAGACCAAGCATGCATCAAATATTCTTGTCCTGTTGCTCTCTGTGGCTTCTCTGGGTCAGCCAAATTGCTGTGGTTTTCATCTCCAGCTCAGCTTGCACGTGATCTTCCTACCGTCCAGCCTTCTCTGCTTTCCCACCTTGGCGTTGAGCGAGGCTCTTCCCCTTCTTCTGATTTCACGTAGGGAATAATCTATCGCATCTACACGACACTCTCCCTATTGATTGTTCAAGTCTGCGGAGGCGCACTGCTGTACGGTTTGTTCAGGCCGGTGAAAGGGTGGTGCTAACAGCGTTTGTCTCATACAAAATTGGCTTTCGTTGCTGGGCGTAGCAGTTTGTGCATTCCTACCCAGTGTGAAAGGCACCAGCCGCTGCAGTCAGGGCAACATGTGGACTTCCTGCTTTATTGTGCATCTCCCGCAGGTACATCTGCTGCACCTCTCAAATGACGAAGGTCGTCCAGCGGCAGGAGCTTGGCTCTGCTCTCGGCCTCAATGCGTGCTTGTTCTTTCTAGACGCCAGTCTGTCTCAGCTCACTGGGCTACCCATATACGCCGCTTATGGTGCTGACCCTCACAGCCTTCCTTCATAGTTTGTCGAACTCAAAATATGCGGTTTCGTCCTTGTATTTAGGCCTTCGGGGATTCTGGTTTATGTGCTTCGTCATCGCGGCTCTCCTGTCTATCTATTTTTTCCTTGTTGATGTGCGCGCATCCAAGGTTTTCAAAAGCGAAGTGCCGATGGTTGTTCCCTTGAGAAGCGTCTATCAATAAACCACGAGGAACCCCCTAAAGCGCTATTTGGAATATATGGAAATCCTCAGCTAGAGACACCGTTGAAATTCAGGGGAAAGCACACAGTTTCTCCTGACGGAAGGTGGCCGAATGCCAGGCTGGCTACCGACACCACAACCATCTCTGCAATTTGTAAAATTATGAACTATGAGATAGAGGCTTCGGCGCAAACGGACACCATCTCGGGTCCATCAGTGCCTCCCCAGTTACTGCAACTTTCTCCCGTGCTCTCTCGGGTTTCGCAAGCTGCCAGCTGGTTAGGAAGGCCGTTAGGTCTGCTTCGCCAGTTAGCCCACAGCCGAAGTGCTGGCATTCCTTGCAACAGCTTCTGGCCTGTGGAGAACCGCAGAGAAAACACAAAAGTGGGGCCATAGCTTAAGACGGGACGCTTCCACATTTCGCATTTTGTATCTTTCAGGACTGCATGTGAACGATTCAAGCGGCTCAGTTAGTCTAATGCGACACAAAGTAGTTCAACCGGGATGCTGCGCCCGCTGCTCCTTCCTTCCAGGCTACACTCAAGGCGTTGCTGCTGCTAGGGCGCTTCACAAAGCCCCACGTTGAGTCATCACCTGCGTCTAGAAGCCGAGTAAAGTTCCTTGACTCCGCGAAAAGCAGCACATCAAGAACGGAATCTTCGTCCACCAAAGCCGCTAGCTGATGCTCACACTCGTCTTTAAGCCCCTTGCACACACCCACCACCGCAAACGATCCGGGATTATTATCTCTCTCCGGGTTTATGCATTCTTTTAGTTGTGAATAGCCAAGTGAGGCGCAATTACAGGGGGATATTGCCGTGCTCAGCTCTCTCGAGACACAAGAGACCCAGAGGCTGCTGAGGGCACTGCTTCGAAGAAAGCTCCTACGTCTCTGTGGCTGCGTCACGGGCTCGTGCCAGGTGTCAAAGCCAAGATGTTTGCAGATCTGCCAGAACAGTTTTGCGAGTTGCCTAACCTGTACATCATATTTGTCTGCCGCCGAGATGAGGCCCATAAGAGCCTCTCTACGCTGTCTTTTTTCCTCGAATGTATCTGTGCGATGAAGCTGTTTGAGTACTTCGCAGGTATCTGTGTGGATAAAAAGTAGCATTTGGTGCGCAGCATACGGACAAATATCGGTTAAGTGTATGTCCGTAGCTTCTGCCTCTCGGAAAGGCCCGTTCAGCATTTTCTGCAGTACCTGCAGTTGACGCACAGGCAAAGTGTGCTTGCCTTTAAGGGTGTAGGCAGAAGCAGCTGCTGATAGAACTTCGAAGGGAGCTGCACAGTG